AAAACAAATTTGTTTTTGTAATTTTGACTTTGTATTACTTTAAATATTATGATGCGTAGTATATTTTAACACTATACTTTTGTATACAGATCACATGCATAATTTTTAGTTAAAACCATATTCTGTTCAATATGAATCGTATTAAAAAAAAAAAAGGTTATTGAGTTGACGCAAAAAAAGAAGGATTAGAAAAAAATAGACTTAAAAGAAAAAATGATCCAAATTCATTAAATTCGAGCTAACTTAACAAGTATGAAATTATAAGTGTGAAAAACTTTCTTTTAGTTTATAGATCTAATTCCAGTATATCAATCATGTAGGTTACTTTTAATTTATACGTCAATAGTAATAATTTGCTTTTATAATGTAAAACCGGTGTAAAACCGGTTATCCAGTTTTACAATAACAACCGGTTTTTTGAAATTTTCCGGTTTTTTTCAAGCCCTAGCATAGATTAATTACGTAAATTATTATTTCAAACATAACAAGAAAAGTTTCTTTATGAAAAAAATATAAACACAAAAAATTGACTTTTTTTGTGATTTGTTTACAATTTTTAAAATACTTTTCCTAATTATTTGAGCGATATAATTAAAAAAAATTTTTTTTGATTTTATTAATTAAGGTTTTAATCTTTTTGGTAGTTGGTTTATTTAAGTGAATGCAATTTTTTATTCATTATGAAAATGAAATATTTTATGCTAATTTTGCAATAAATTAACAATCTTTATTTGATTTAAAAATACTATATTATAGATATAAAATAGATATAGAAAACCTAAGCATTTTATAATGAAACAAATTAAATTTACACTAGCAACTAATTATTTATTTTTCCTTTGACATTGTAGACTTTCCCTGTTGGTTTTACTGAAATCTGTATGAAGGTAAATTATTTTATGTAGGCGATTCTACAAAAAAAATCAGGGGGGGGGGTGAATCCTTAAAAAGTACTGACTGGCTTCGTGAAAAAAAAAAAAAATGTCGTCAAAATGAAATTTTAGCCGACTAAATGTGTCAAGAACTCGACTAGCCAACTAAATTAATAAAAAATCCGACTAAAACTTGAAAATCACCTTCTTTGGGGATGTGTAACACCTTCCACACCCCCTGTAAAATTGCCTGTGCCTGTTGTGGCAAAGAAAAAAAGATTATCTCAATATAAAAAAATATATAATCACAAAAAAATATAATTCAGAATAATGTGTTTATAGTTGTAAAATTCTTCCTGCTTATTGTTTGAGCTGACCTTAGATGCTCTACCTAACAATTCTATTGTTTTCTAAAGATAAATTTTTATGTTTCTGTTAAATAAATAACTTCATTTTGCTTTAAATAAAGTACTTTTTCATTCTATAATTTTAGAATTAAATCTTAAAGTTAACAAAACTAAACTAAAAAAAAAGAAGGTGATTTTAAAGTTATAGTCGGCTTTTATATAAATTCAGTCGGTTAGTCGGGTATTTGATACAATTCAGTCGGGTAAATTTTAGTTTTGAGGACCTCTTTTTTTTTCTTTCAGAAGCCAGTCTAGTACTTTTTAAGGACTTTCTCCTCCCCCCTCCTCCCCATTTTATTCGTAGAATCGCCTCTGTATATTAGCAATAAACAAAAAGTTTAAAAATTAAATTAAATTATAATTAAAATTCCTTTTCTCCGTCTTTTAATAACCTGTACTGTGAAAAATTGAATCAATTTCTAAAAAAAATAAATATTGGGAACAACATGACTTTGTATATACATTATGCATACATACACACACACACACACACACACACACACACACACACACACACACATATAAATATGTATATTTATATAAATATATATATATATATATAAAATATTGAAATTTTGAGCCTTTTATATACATAATACATACTTATATATCTATATATACATAAATGTATCTGATATGTATACACACACACAGACACATATATACATTTTGAGTACATATGTATGTATGCATGTATGTATTTATGTATGTATGTATGTATGAATGTAAGTGTGTATGTATATATAAATGTGTGTATATATATATATATATATATATATATATATATATATATATATATATATATATATATATATATATATATATATATATGTATATATAATACATGCATACATTTATACGTACACACACACACATACACACTAACACACACACACACACACATATATATATATATATATATATATGTATATATATTTATATATATATATATGTATATATATATATATATATATTTATATATATATATATATATATATATATATATATATATATATATATATATATATATATATATATATATGTATATATATATATATATATATATATATATATATATATATATATATATATATATATATATATATATATATATATATATATATATATATATATTATATATATATATATATATATTATAATAATTTTCAAATAAATAACCATTTTTTAAAAACTTTTTAACAACATGTTTTATCAATATCAATTGACATCATCAGGTATAAAAAATTAGTTACAATTTCTGTATATAAACAATTTTTGGCTCAATAGTTTTTACAATAGTTACCATAGTTACATAAAATAAGTAATTAGCATGAAATTTTACAAAAGATTATACAAAAGGTGCGAAATAGTTAATAACAAACAAAATAGGAAGTAAAAGTAAGATAATTGAGAAATTATATTGTTATAGTAATAGTGTATGGTTTTAGTTATGCATTAAGAAGAGGTTTTTCTCAATATGGATCCCGTCCTTAATTTTGAGTTAATACTTGCAGGAAGCTCTGTCAATAATGGAAAAACAATCAGGATTTGTTGAATTTTTGCAGTTTTGTGATGAGTTGAGGTGTTTGTGTTATAAAACGAATTAAATAAAATGAATTGAGGTGTTTGTGTTCTAAAACATTTTTACGTAAAGAACGTTTAAAAGACGTTTAAAAAACGTTTAAAAGACAGTCAGAGCATAACTTTCAAAAACAAATGCCTATAGGGATATGTCGATATTCTAAACGTTAGATCGACGTTTAGTAAACACATATATAAAAAAATTTGAAATATACATTTCGAATTAGACGTCGATTTTTAGTCATTAATAGGTTGCTAAAGCTTGGTTTCCAATAGTTGTAAAAATGTTGTGCAATATATGAATTTGTTGTACAACAATTGTTGCCGAAATAGGTTTAATTCTATCTTCGCAACCTTTGTTTTTATAACAAAGGTTGCGAAGATAGAATTTTGTTGTACAACCGACGTTAAGTTGTGCAACTTACGCAAGAAAATGTTTCCATTATAAAGCATTATTGTTGTACAACTGTTGTACGACATTTCTACAACTATTGGAAACCAAGCTTAAACGTTTTATTCATTTTTTTATTACCGATTTTGACTAAATATTAACCAGTTCTGAACCAATCTGTGTTTACTGGGGCAGCATAATTCATATATTCTTAAACTTGAATAATAACATTTTGCAGTGCTTAATAATGTTAAAAGTAGTAAAAAACTTTTTTTATTCTATCTGTAAAAATAGACAATGATTTTAAAAACACGGGACATTTAGAGACCACTTCAAAAAAAAAAGCTGGTCCGTATTTTTACAAAAGCACTGTGCTTTTAAAGGGTTAAATCTATTTTCAACAAACACAACAAAAATATTTTATATGCTGATGTAAAATTATCAGAAAAAACATGAAATTGCATAAAAAACCTCTTTTTCCACTAAACAAAAATTGTCTAACAAAATTTTTTACCAAGCCACCGTAAGCTCAAATAAACCTCAATACATAGATAAGCATACATCGGGATATGCGAAACCCCCTTTAAGCTAGGTTATGCAAAACATCTAAAATCCTTTAACTTAGAAAAGTACAAGTACGACACTGAACTGTCTAAAAATTATGGAAATTTAAAGAAAACAACTTTACATTTTCAATCAAATGGAATATTATTAAACGCTGTAAAACATACGATTCCGCGTCAAAAACTTGTAAACTTTGTTTAAACGAGAAGTTCAAAATATTATTTTACAAAGGAGATAATCTGCTAACCAAAAGAGACAAATTATTTTTTAAATGTAGACACAAAAGTAAATTTCTCCTTTCATTCTTTGATAGCGGCGATTAGTTTTTCATTACGTCTTCTTTACTATAACGTGAGAACTTTTGATTATGTATTTCATGGCTGATGATTGCCGATAGACATGAAACTTTAAGTTCCATTAAAAGTTGTTTTTTTTTTTTTAATTATTTAAGTACTTCTATTTTTTTCTTTTAAGAAAATTTAAAATCTCATATTCACCAAAAAGTGTGATAAAAACACGAACCGAAAAACGATCATTTTTGTGCACGCGTAACATCAAAACTATTTAATAGTATTGATGTACTGCGTGCTCAAAAATAATATACCTTTTTTCGTGTAACATTTAAGCAATAAAAGAGAAAGTGCTCACTTTTAATTTAGTTTACAATGATGCAAAAAATTCCCTTGGCATATTTAATAGATAAAGAAACAATATATGTCAAAGAACTACTTGCTAAAGTTAATGATAGACTGGACTAAAAATGATACAGCCTTAACCAAATTCTGCGATTTGCCACAATAAAATTGCAAACTAAACAGTTTACGCGGAAGAGCCCGAATAAGAATAAGTAGTAACAATCTTTCAAACATCAAAAATAGTAAAAAATATAAATGTGGTAATAAAATGTTAGCTTCAAAAATGTTGTAAAAGCTTTAAACCTCAGCTAAAGTTAAATACAGGTTGCTTCTCAAGTTATCTCAGTAAAATACCGCAAACCACAAAAATTGGAAAAATGTTATAATCTTGCATTTTTGACAAACTTAAATGTAATAAAACTAAATAAAATTAACATGCATTTTTATTTGTTTCCTCTACCTGAAAACAAAAAATACTAAACTATTATTAAATATTTTACATATTACTGTTAGTAATTGTCATTAAAATTCATTTTTTCACAAAATGTACCTCCCATTTTCTTTTCAGAACCGATGTTATAAATTGAACTTTTCAAGGCGCTTCAAGCTTAAACTACTTTTCAACTTTTCAAAAAGTAACTTTTCAAAAAGAAACTTATCTTGACTGTCTGCATATCATTTATGAATAAACAATCTATTCACTTATTTCATGTTTATCTTAGAACACAGTTGTTTACACACTGATAAAAAAGAATATTGAAAATATATTCTGTTATTTGCACGGAAAGTACCGTTCAATCATTGCGTCGTAAAACCTCTATATTTGCAAGTTTTTAGATACGAAACTTTTACTGTACAAAGTTAACATTAATTACAATTTAAAGTTACTATTATTTTATGTAAACCTTAAATATTCTTTTAACTTACTAAACATTTTCTTTGTATTATTTAATCTGCCACAATGGAGGAGGGGGGGGGGGCAGGATTATGGGCAATACTACTGGGTAGAGCAAATAGTAGTAGATCGAAAATTTTTTCAAAGAAACTTATGCCAAAAATGCGGTTAACAAATTAGGTCTTTCCTACCTTTTTTTTCCTTTTATATCTTATTTTTTAATCGTTTGCTTTTTTCTAAAAACTAACTTAAAAATTATTTATTTGAAAAATTATTGGGAAGGAAGGGGGAGGGGCAAATTTCCCTGCTGTTTCCCCTGCCCTTTGTTACGAACCTGCTTTTTACTAATTTATATATAAGTTATATAAGAGAGAAAAGATGTGATCAGAGGCAATTTTACAAATAAATTGAAAGGAGGGGGAGGGGGTTATTCCTTTAAAATTCACAACTGGTTCTTAAAAAAAAAAAGAAAGGAAAAAGATCCTCAAAACTAAAATTCATCAGACTGAAATGACTCACATATCCCTCTCCCCCTCCCCCTAAAATTGCCTCTGGATGCAATCATGATATTATTCAGGAGCAGTATGATCCTGAATAACACCTGGATCAGGTTCTGAAAATTGAATTAAAAATCTATAACACAAATAACACAAATACCCCATTTCCTGTCATTCAATGTAATTTTAATTTTTAATAATAATTTTAATTAATCATTAGATGTATTAGTAATTTAGTTTTTAGAAAATTGTATTGATCCAAAAATTGTAATCAACAGATTAATATTAGAGTGCAACGATTATTCGTTTATCTAATAACGATGTATGAATATTCGTTGGTTAAATTATTCGTTAATAAATATTCGTAAAAATTAATCGTTTAAATTATTCAGAGTACGAATATATTCGTAAACCTATATTTGTTTAATAAATTATAATCGTTTAACAACGGGTATCTCAATTATAAAAGGTTTATCAATTATAAAAAGTAAGGTATCTCAATTATAAAACACCATTTAACAAAAATTATAGTAAAATCAAGTATTTTAAATTACATTTAGATAACACTTATAAAAGAGTAGCGAGATCAGAAGAACTCGAAAATATGATCTATTGAGAAAATAACTTTTTCAGTTTGTTTTTGAAAGTTAATAAATTCCAACTTTAGGAACAATCAAAACTTTATAAAACTATTTGGTTCCACAAAAAAGCTCCGCAATAAGATATAAAAGGCCTTCCAAAATTTGTATGCGAATAATGTTGGTAAATAAAGTTGTATTTTCTTAGATTATATTTGTTTTTTTTTGCTTTATTCCATATAAATTTTGAAAGGATATAGGGGTGAGGTCTATCTTACATTTGTACATAAATAAAAGAATATTAAAAACATTTTGCTGGTAATTTATTATACCAGCCTGGTATATATTTAGAACATTCATTTCTAATAAAAGAGGTCTGGCATGAGTATAACGATCTTTAAAATTTATTAGTCGTGTTAAATACTTCTGTTGTCGATAAAAAGAATCTAAAAGACATTTTTTAGAACTAGCCTATGCGATATTTGAAAAATTTAGATGGCGTTGAATAAGTGAGTAATAAAGTTGAATTAATGCGTGTCTATTTACAAAACTTCTCGCTTTATATAATACTCCAATATCTTTTAAAACTTTGTTGAGCAAAGTTTCAATATGATTATTCCACGTAAGGTTTTCATCAATAAGAACACCAAGAAAAAATATTACTTTTAATTTTTTTATTTGAATATTATTTAAATATATTTGAGGCATATCATTTGGCAAAAGAAAGTTTTTGGATTTTGGATGAAAAAGAGTCCATCTTTCTCACTGTGGCGCGTGTTTGTGTCACTTGTTACTGTGCTGTCTAAGCAACGTCTATAGCTTGGCAAACGTAAAACGTTGGTTTTTCCTCTCCCTGTGTTGTTTGTCTATCTTTAGAAGCAAATTTGGATTTGGCTTGTGAGTTTGCTTGCGACTAAAGCGGGGTGATTCGTTTATGTTGAATATTCAGTTTGTTCAAAAACATCTTTATTTTGAATGAAGTAAAAGGTGGTCCATTATCACTGACAATCGTTTTCGGTATTCCATATACTGCAATCGTTTTCTATAGAAAATCAATAAGGAGGTCAGCAGATGTATTATGTATAATATCGATAACCGGAAATTTTGATGTTTGGTCTATAAGGACTACCAAATAAAATCCATTAGGTAAAAGACCAAGGTAATCTATATTAACGGTGTCCCAAACTTCCTCTGGTGTTGGTGTGATTAATAGTTCGGCTGGTGCATTTTGTTTACCATGGGCTTGACAAATTGCACATCGTTTTATATATTCTTCTACTTTAGTGTCTAGACCAGGAAAGTAAACTTTTTCCCTAAATAATGATTTGGTTTTCTCAAGTCCCATGTGACTATTATGAGCAAGCCATATAACCGTAATTTCCAGAGAATGTGGAAGTACAATTTGATTTGCTTTTAGAATAAGGTCTGAAGTCTGATTTACTGTAAGTTCTTGGCGTATATTACGGTAAGCAAGTAAGTCTTTTTGAAATTTTTTTAGTTCTGGTGGACAATTTGGATGTAATAGTTGATGCCAGGTATTAGTTGTAATTAACTCTGTAAGTATTTGTAGAATAGGATCGGTTTTAGTTTCTCTTTGAATATCCAGTAGTGAAAGGGCTTTAAGACATGCGTATTCAGCTGTAAAATTGACATATTTTTCTAGCCCTTCGTCCTCACAAGGGTCTTCAGGGTGTCGGCTAGAATAATCAGATATATTATTTTTTCCTTTTACGTAGTGTAGATCAAAAGAATATCCCTGTAATCGTAAAGTCATACGCTCAATGTAAAGTGGTATTATAGCGTTTGGGTTGATTAAAATCTTTACAATAGCTTCATGGTCGCTGTACATTTTAAAAGGGTGTCCAAATAGGTATGTTTTGTTATACTCGCAAGCGTATACTATAGCTAAACATTCTCTTTTGAGCGTAGAGTAGCGTTGTTGTACAGGCGATAGCGCTTTCGAATTATAAAATATTAGTTTAAAATCTTGTTTATATGGAGTGTTTTGAACAATGACTGCCGATATGCCTACAAGACTTGCATCGGTGAAGACAGTAGTCTCTTTGATGGGATCGAAGTACCCGACACATGAGTCCAATGTAATAGCGTTTTTTAGTGTGTCAAATGCATGCTGACACTCAGGGTTCCAGTTCCATAAGAAATCTTTATGCAGAAGGTTTCTCAATGGATAAGTAATTGTAATGTAGTTTAGAATAAAACGTTTAAAATAGTTCATAAGCCCGAGAAAACTTTAGAGAGCTTTTGTGTTTTCTGGTGTTGGCATGTTCTTGATATTATAAAGTTTTTCCGGATTTGGTTGCATTCCTTCTTTTGAAAAAATAAATCCATAAAATTTGACTTTTTCTTTTCCAAATAAGCATTTTTCAAAATTTAGAGTTAAACCTCTCTGTTTAAATCTTTCTAATACTTTATGTAATATTAAATCGTGCTCTTTTGTATTCGAAGCGAAAATTAGAACATCGTCGGCAATGTTCAAAGTTCCTTCTATATCCTTTAAAACTTCTCGTAAAGCGTTTTGTAGTTCCTCCTGCGCGGAGTTTACTCCAAAATTAAGTCTTTTAAAACGTTTAATTTGAGTTTCGGATTGAAAAGTAGTTATTGATCTGGATTCCGGTGCAAGTTCGATGCGTTCATTAAATCTAGTTTCGAGAAAATGGCGGAGTTTTTTAGTTTTATAAAAACATCGTCCAGGGTTGGAGTTGGAAAACGCGTTCTTCCAATAGCTTTGTTAGCTGCTCGCATGTCTACGCAAATTCTTAGGTTGCCGTCATTTTTTGGCACAATTACCATCGGACTTATCCAGGGTGTCGCTTCGTCTGTTACCGTTTCAATTATTCCTTCTGCTTCAAGTTTTGCAAGTTCAACTTTAACCTTTTCTCTAAGTGCAAAAGGAATTCTTCTTTCTCTTTGTGCGACTGGTAGTATACTTTCATTAATTTTCAATTTTACTTGGTAGTTAAAGAACTTTCCTATTTTACCGCTAAAAACAGAATTTTTGTATGAGTTTATAAGTGGTTCTAATCGTTTTGGAGCGTTTAAAAGGAGAGTATTGTTTAATTTGCTTAAGTTCTGCAAAGAATGGCAAACTTGTTGTTTACTGTCGTCATGGTTTTGTTCTCTTTGGCCTTTGTTTAAAAGTTTCTTATTGACGTCAGTATTTAGTTGTATTAAACCGAGTAACTTAGCGTCATTTCCAGATAACAGATTTTTGTGGTGTGTTTTAAACACGTGGAATGTGGACTGACGAAATTTGGTTTGACTTTCTATCATGACATTGATCTGTCCTTCTATTTTGAGCTTTGAATTGTCATCCCCGTAAGTAATAATCTGTGTTTTAGACTTTTGTAGTCGAAGTGGTCTTTTAAGGAAGTTGTTTATCTTTTCAAATGTTTTAAAGTTTAGAATGTTTATCGAAGCTCCGGTGTCTATTAGAACGGTTATTGGTATATTTTCTAAGTCCGTTGTTAGATATCTGTTTAGCATTGACAGAGTACAATTCTCCTTCGTTTAACTTTGACTGAGGATTTTTGGATTCATTAATATCTTTGTAAATTGTATTTAATGGTTTCGTATAACCTTGTTCATTTCTTTTGTATTTCTCTTGAAGTATTCTTGTATTCTGTTCGTTTTGTTTTCTAGTTTTACAGCAAAATGTCCGATTTTCCCGCAGGAGTGGCAAAATTTCC